CCAATGTCCATGCCAACGAGTCCAACGAGGTCCAACGTTTATTAAAAAATGCAACTAGTAAGTATAACAGCCTTCCAGTTCCTTCCCCCCACACATAATGTCCTTTCTGTCTTTCTGCTTGCCTCCGTCGACGACAGCATTGTTGCCCAAGGCAGTGGATTTCCTCCGAGAACACTTGTTAAATACCGGATTGGTTGTTCTGGGATCAAGAAAGCTTGTGGTGAGTGAAGTTCCCCAATTCGAAGGAATTTCGTACTTCATTTGAGTTTGGAAGGTACACCTGGTTGAAGTCGAGCAGTCCTTCAGGACAAAGTTGCCATCGTTGGAAGTCATACAAACTTTCGCAATCTGAGGCCACCGATGCAGAAGTCGACGCGTCACTCTGCTTCTCATAGTTCGATGGCGGGAACAAATCGGCGTCGATTGACGACAACAAGTCGTACGCATCCTGGTTGACATCGCAAGCCATTCCCACATCCCAATTTTGGAAAGAGTCTGAAGCCACAGAACCACAGCTTGTCGTGTCGCTCATGTTGTTCTCGCCAAAGTTGAAGGACGGGACGACGTTTGTGTGGCTTAGAGGTAGCATGTTGTACCCATTTGAATGTTGGTACGTTCCTTCTTGCCCAGAGACTGTGTATGCGGACGGTTGATGACATGTAGACCAAACGACATCCTGGGGATAGTAATTGTAAGAAGAGCTTTGTTGCCAGTTACAGTGATCAAGGCCATCGTCAGAACTAGTGCACAACGATCGGCTGGACGACGAAGGTGATGGATACAAGTCCTCAGACAGTTGATAAGGATCTGAGCGTAGGGAACTTCGAATCATTTGGGCAGTCGGTAGAGAACTCGAACAAGGCTCGAATGTCATAGCGTGGCGTTGCTGGACGGAGGAAGAGCTTCGATCCCAGTAATCAAGGCCCTCGTCAGAACTAGTGCACAAAGATCGGCTGGATGACGGAGCGGGTGACGGATAGAACTGCTCAGGCGGTGCCGGTTGATATTGATCTGAGCGTTGGAAGCTTCGAGCCATTGGTAGGGTAAGTGAAATTGGAGAAGGCTCAAGTGACATAGTGTGGCGTTGCTGGACGGGTCGTTGTCCCCGATGGACGGGCATCCCGTCAACGTTCGAGTCTAAAGTGAGTTCATAGCGTGAAGATGCCCGTTCAGGAGGATAATGTTTTGATTTGTTCTTTCTTGGCTTCTTCCGACGCTTTGGAGAAAATTTCCAATTGGGATGCTCGCTTGCATGTTCTAGCTGTTTGATCTTCTGCCGCTCGTTGTAGTATTCGAGGAACGCTTCACTACGTTGTTTCCCTTCCTTCCAAGTCTTGCCCAGGTATCTTCGAGGTGGCGCCTTGTAACCCCTAGCCTCACAATAGGCCTTGATTTCGTCGCAGTAGATGAAGAACGCGTTGAGAGGACGTTTGATGTGCGATGGTTTCAATGTTCTCAGTTTCATAGCAAATATGAGGAGATGAATGGGGGCAATTTGAGACTAGTGGTTCTCGTTATGGTCCTGAATTCTTGAAGTGATTTTATACCAAAGCAGTTGGAAATCAGGAGGGCGCATCAAAGCGGTTGCTCCAACCTAATGAAAACGCGTGCCAGGTCGGCACCCCAATTCGTGTGCGAATTGAGGTTCAGTTAAGGTACAGAAGCGAGGGCGATATAGTGATATCACGATCTTCCATTAAGTTGGACAACAGCTTAAACCATATAGAAACCAAGTAGGACTAGAATGGAAATCCCGGTCGCTTTGTTCTGAAGATTTTCGACGAGGCTGATAGATCCGTCTCCGTGGATGACCGTGAATCTCCTTCTTACCAGATGCCGGCGGAATTCGTCGTACTGATGGAAAGACAGAGAAGCCAATTTGAACACTCTTGTTCCAGTTAAGGATAATTGTCTGGCGTTAAGAAAGGCGAACTAGGTACGAGCACATCGATGAACACACCCGTTATGCTTTGCGTTGACTCGATGCACAAAAAGACCTCAAGAAAAGCCTCCCTGAACGACCAAGAGGAGAAATTCCAGGGCAGAGAAAGCCTGAGCGCAGTCTACTGGGGCAGTGCAAAAGTGTCAAATCACGACTTAAGACGCCGCGGTAGTAATAGTGACAGCAGCACGACCTATGATCGATCCTCTGCATTATGATGCTTGAGATTGGCTTCCGAGGTGGCATAGTATAGCCTTTAAGGATGCAGTTAGCTCGAGTGGATTTTGGTGAGAATAGGTCAGGGGTGCTTCGAGTCAGCTCCTTTACATGGCGGCAGCATGGCCCTGGCCCCATGCCTTTGTAAAACTTGGACCACAGCAGTTCTGTAAAAGGTTGTTTTGATGGGCGCCCACGGCCGCCCGGCAAAATCCGCGGATTTTCGAGACGGAGGGCCAACAATTGGAACGTCTTTATTCACGGTCATCGGAAGAAATTTACAGGTCCATTAGCTTTCCGAGTGGAGTATGCTCCAAGTCGAAGCCTCTCGAATTCTCGATAATTGTCATCAAACTAAGGATCTGCTGGCCTGGATTCTATGCATGGGTGCGTACTGTAAGTATGTCAATCTTGAGCTTGATCATTGAAAGTCATTCACCAAATGGGTCGATGGCGTAGCTGGTTATCGCATCTGTCTAACATCCTTGTTGTACACAGAAGGTCCTCAGTTCGAACCTGGGTCGACTCATGTTTTAGCATCTTTTCGATGTTGAGGCTCTTTCCATCAAAATGTCCTAGTTGCCCACTTTTCGTTTTTATGCCCTTTCTCTTCTGGTGTTCTCTGAAAGTCAACCTACCTCGTTCAACTGTCAAGAAACAAATCGATCCTCCACTTACATAGAAACTTGGGACTTTTCTACCACTGATGCAGTCTGCATATATTGGCATTTTTTCGGACTATAATTATCCCTCGAAAGGCTACCTCTTACCAATGGTGACGTTGGGTATCTGTTTACGGGGCTCCAGCTATGCCTTGTACCCCGACAAATTTCCAAGCTTATCTCACACTTGGCGTCTGTCCATGATAGTGGCTAGTGCTATCTTAGCACTCATACACCGTGGCATCCACTGCATACCACCCAGATTCTCCGGATATCCCGGGCTCACTTTACGACGTCTTGAACGTGCCAGCGAACGAAATCGGGTAGCCCGTTAATCGTAGATGCCGGTAAAAACTTGAAGTTTCAGAACCTTCAGTCCGTGTTCGTCGAGCAATCGCTTCCTAGCACGGTTCCCTGTCCCGGTATATTCCTGACACCATTGGATTTGGACTCCCAGCCATCAATGACGTGTGCCCATTCTCGATTGAACTTTGCCCTTTCTCTCGATGTGTGCATGCAGCCAGTATGGATGGCCAGAAGCTACGCTCGATACATCGGGAGTAGAGCCTGTACATAGAGCACTTACACGGCATATACTGTGTACCTGCTGTGTACTTCGGTGCATACTAATGATCGTGACAGACGGAATCAAAACTTGAATGACACCATTGCGAATGCAAAAGCGGAAGCATTCGAGTGTGGCGTTTGTGTCAAAGCTCAGAAAGGTACTAGCAGGTATGTACTAGTAGTGTTCTGATTTTCACCTACTAGCCAACACCGACGCAAGTGACTGAGGGACCCGTTCATACCTGGTCGACCAACATGTAAGTACGTACATACCTATGTACATCGGCAACGGGCACTAGTGGCAGTGGCGCGAAGCGACGTCTTCAAATGACGGGATATAACTTGGGCTTTGACACCGACTCATGCAAAAGTGGAAGTATTCGAGTGTGGCGTTCAATTGCGTCAAAATCTGAAGCCACTAGTAAGTATTTTGATATGGACCTACCTGGACCTACCGAAACTGACACAAACGACTGAGGGACACGTTCGAGAAGTTCATAACCGGTCGACAATCATGTAGCTATATACATCGGCAAGGGGCACTGGCAGTGGCGTGAAGCGACGTCTTCAGGTTGTCCTTTTCGAAGCCTTTCGAAGTCTACTGAATACTTCTTTGAGTAGTATGAAAGACGGAAAATCAATGACCACAACTGCAGGATTTCCGTACCCCACGGAACGATATCTCATAC